ATTACAAATTGAAAATTAATTGAGAACAGTTTCCAGTTAAAATATTTTAAAAGGCAAATGAAGTGTTTTGAGGTCTCCAGTTTAGCTGGACATTATTTTCTCCTGGTATCTCTGGTTCCTTTCCCTCCCAGCCGTGTTCCCACCTTCTCCCTCCCTTGCAACAAGAGAGAAGCTCTCTGTTTACACCCCTGCCGGGGCAGCCTCGCCCGGGGCTGCGCGGGGGACGGGGCTTCCTCGCAGCAGCCTCGCTGTAAATACTCTGCCAATGCTTCGTGGACAAACCGAGATGGCAAAAAGTTGTATCTGTGAAATGTTAAGCTCTGTGTGTATAGATCCAACGTGTATTATCTGCGGCTCTGTATCAACTGTATATTAAACTGCTCCGTGTACGGCCGATCATTTCATGCTCTCTTAGATGTAGAAAAGCTGAGAAGTAATTCACAATACACTGTGTCAACTCCAAATCGTTTTTGCTTTCGTATTTTTGCTCCAACCCTGCTTCAGCCGCAGCCCTCGGCACGTGATCTGGAAGAAGAATAGTTTGGGATAGGTTTTTCAGCCCTTTGGTTTGGATCTGGCTTTTAACAATGTTTCTTTGATAATCGTGAAGCCACCAAGTTAATTTTTGATTAGGTGTGTGTTTAGGAGGCATCTTAAACCCGGAAGGGATTTGTCACACAGCCGTGCTGCACTTTGATATGTTGGTTGGCAGTGAATGATCTTCCTGTTCCCAGAGCCCAGGCTGAGAAGACAACTCCTTCCTAATTTTTCCTCATTTTAATGCAGCTCTGAAGCGTTGGGAAGGGGCCGTGCAGCTGCCACCGGCAGCACCTCTGCAGCCACCTTTGGTCACTGCTGGGCAGAGCTTTTCCCCACAGGGAGCTTGTGTTGGCCAAAACTGGGAATGAATTTTAAATAGTTATTTTTCTATTTGGCAGAGAGCACTGATAGTTTACTCTGGAATTCCAGTGCCTTATTCAGAGCCCTTTAATTTGCTTGGAAAGGGGAATGAGGCAGTTTTTCTCGAGTGAGTGTCCACAGAGCACGGACTGGCTGATTGGCAGTGGCTGGGCAAGAGCGGGAACCTTGATACTTCCAAAACCGGAATCTGGCCCAAAGAACAAGCCCCATGTCTGTCTGTCTGTCCACACCCCCCACCTCTCTGTGGGCTTCTTGTCAGCATCCCACTGTGTGTTCATCAGGTTTCACTGGGGAATGGAAGCCCTAATGAGGCCCTGAGCCCTCCCTGGTCAGGGTTTGACCTGGCAGATGGCAGAAGGTTTCCTCTGGATCCTGCTGCCTGTCGGTGACCAGTGACCCAGCACCACTGTGCCCTGCACACCAAACCCTTCTCAGCAGGCAGCCAGAGCATCTGAATGTGTCCACCACACTGTCCAGCTTGCCTTTCCCTCCTCTCCCTCAGCTGCAGCAGAGCCAGAGCTGCTGGAATTAAAGCGGCGTCCAGTTTCTCTGGGTCCCGACTGATTCTTTTCCCCCATATTTTGAACATTTGTTTTTTCCCACACACCAGGTAAGTATCAGAGCACACAGGAACCCCTGTGGTGTAACTGCACCACAGCCAGCGTTTGCCCTGAGCTCCTCAGTGCCAGCCCAGTGTTAATGCCAGTAGGGGTGTGTGGGCCGTGCTGGGGTGTTCCCAGCTATTCGCCTTCTCTCGTAGGTGAAAACTGTTCCAATGTTGTCCAGTCAGGTTCTGATTGTGGATCCTGGTGATTGTCAACGCCAAGGGATATTTTTTAATAAATCTGGTTAAGGTATTTCAAATGAATCCAGTCTTGTTGTTTTCAGTTTGTCTTGTCCTGGGTGAGCCCATGTTAAAGTTTCTTTTCTCTCTGTGGTTTGTTTCGTGGTCAGGACGTGTCGTACACCGATGGGTTGGGTGTACTGAAAGACCCACCCTGTGTGTGGTTAGTTTACGTGGGGATGTGTAACAAGAAAAGCCCAAAGATCTCTCAGGGAGATGTTTCTGACAGTCTGGGCTGTGTTTGTCCCTAGTGAGCCTTGGGTGCTCGGCCTGCTGTCGTGGTGTGCTTGGCCCAGCTGGACAGTGGGGGACAGCAGGGCCACCCCAGAGGCTGTTCCGTGTCTCTCATCTACAGGTGCTGCCAGGGCTCTGGCACCTCAGGCATGCTGCAGAATGGGATCTCTGTGGGATCCACTGGCTTCTTCCTCCTCAGGCAGAAGGGGGCTCCAGGATTGCCCTGGGTGCCAGGAAGGTGAGTGGTACCTGACCCCACAGGTTGTTGGTGTGGGGGTGCTCCCAGGTTCTGCACCGCCTGGCTGTGCCACTCTCAGGGTTTCCACTTCTGAGGAGCCACCATCACCTTGGGGTAATGGAGAGGTGCTGCAGCCCTGGAGCCATCTCCCAGTCTGGCTGGAAACTGCCTGGTCTTTGCTCTCCCTGCTTAACCAGAGGTGATAGTTCAGCTTTTCTGTGGAGGTCAGAACTTGCAGGTGGCCTCTGGCCCAGGCTTGGCCACATTATAGGACCCCAGTGCCCTCCCAGCTCCAGCACTGTGCGAGGTGGGTGTGGAGCACATCTGCCAGCTCCTGCCCTGGTTCCCCTGGGGTATCCTTGAGGGTTTCTCGGGGATCTCCAATCCAAGCTGTTCCCCTGTTTTCCTGGGGCTGCTCCAGCTCTGTCTGGGTCACAACCCTGGGTTCCATCTCTGCCCAGGGAATGCCCATCTGCCTCTCCCTGCTGTGACTTCATCAAAAGACTCTGCCCTGGTCCTGCTTCAGGGGCAGCCCGTGGAGAGGGTGCTCTCACCAGGCTTCCCACACCAGCCACCGACCTTCCTATTCACACCAAAGAGCTTTTCCTTCATCTCTGGGTCAAATATTTGTTTGGAGCAATGATTTCCCCTGCTCTCTCTGGTTCTGTGACATTTCAGTCCAGCAGAGCCCACAGCAGTTTGTATTAATGGCTGTGGCCACTGCAGTGGCATGGGGGACCTTGTGTGTCATGGCTCTGCCAGGGGGACCTGCAGGGCTGTGCTCAGCCTGGCCACAGCAGATTTGAGTCTCATCCATTAATCACTACTTTGCTTTTGGTAACTAAACTTCTGTTGCTTTGCGATGACAAGCAGCATTTCTCATTTCCCAGCCTCACAGAGTTTATGGGAATCTAAGAGCTAGATGCAAATGAACTTCATTAACATGCTTAATTATCTTATAAACCTCATACCCATCTGTCCTGCATATGCTTTGTACTTGACACTCGATGACAAAGTGACCATGTTGGGCTTGGCACGAGGTGCCTGAGAGAGGGAACCTTTGGGAAGAGCCCGGCTCTGCCTGAGAGGGGCTGTGTTAGTGCCAGGGGCACACTGGGGGTGAAATGTCTTTTTTCAAAGTCTATGTCTAAGCTGGGAGATGGGAAATGGTGTGTAGAACATGTGGCAGAATGGCACAATCTCAGGAATGATCTGTTAAAAGCAGAGAATCAGCATGGAAACAAACAAACCCCAATCCCTGTCCGTTTGCAGCCCAAGATTCTGGACTGGATTCCATGGTGGCACATGATGCATTTCACAGGGGGGAAGCTGTGCTGCAGTCACAGCACTGGGGGCCTTGAGCAGTCTCAGGGAATGCTTCTGTCCTTATTTAATGTTATTGAAAAATAGCAGAAAAAAATGAGCCTTTACTTCTAAGTTGGTTTGCAAACTGATGGATCTACCTGGGCAAGGGACAATGCAAACCCCAGACTTGTGCCAGAGCCTCCTGAGGGTTTAGGGGCTGTGACAGGGTCTGGGCACAGACTGTCAGCTCTTCTATGTGACAGAATCATGTTGGAGCCACCTCTGTCAGTGGACACTTGGCACATGGGGTGACCCTTGAGGTGCTGCTGTGTGCTCCTCACTCACCTTGTGGCATGGGAAAAGCAGTGACGTTGTGTTGGTGTCTGCTTTTTGGGCACGTGTTTGGAACCAAGCTGAAGCAGAGCATGAAATTTTGCCAGCCTGAGGGGGAGAAAGGACCCAGGATGAGCAGCCCTGGGAACAGCTGTCCTGCCACCAGAGCAGTGGTGAGTCCGTGTGTCCGAGCAGCGGAGGGCAGGGAGCACAGTGCATAGCAAAGTGCTGACGAAGGATCTCCTTCCCTCCTGTCGCTCTTGCCAGCTCTCATCAGCCAAAGACACCTTGTTCCTGCAGGGGCTTGGATAACACGCCAGCCTGGGCACCCCTCTGCCTCCCACCCTTGCATCCAGCCTCCTGGTCCGAGGCCAAGCTCCCTATCACGTTACCAGCCCCAGTCCCCTCCGGCACCGGCAGTCATGAAGTTTAGGAGAGAGAATGTTGAAAACTGTGGAGCTGGAGCTCTAAATAATTGTAAATATGAGCAAACCAGAGATGTGGCTGCAGGGCAAGTATTGTCTCTGTGTGCTGTGGTTGTGACCAGACTGGGAAGTTGAAGAGAAAACACAACTTTGCAGCAGGTTGGTGGTTTGGGGTGTTTTTTGTGTGGAGTTTGTGTGGGTTTTTTGGGGGGAGCTCAGGCATGTGCCCAGTGAGCCCAGGCCCCCAGGGCACAGTGGTTTGATGGCATTGCAAGTGATGCACAAACACGTATTAGTAGCGTTTTTTGATAACTCTGAGCCAGTCACACTCTGAATCCTTCTTCCTGGAAAAAGAGGAAATAATTTAACTTTCCTTTCTAATTTGTAGAAAATACAAGGGGAAAGTGCCCCCCTCACGTGGATCCTGCCTGTAGAGCTGCTGTTGCACAGTTCCTGCCCCAGCATCCAGCACTGATTCACACCACAGGAGCCACAGCTGCACCTGTAGGTGCCACTGTGATCCAGCTGGGCACGAACAGCTCTGCTGGGGACAGGTCCTGCTGGTTCAGCTCCTTGTCTGCCAGGAGCTCCCCCAAACTCTGCCTGGTGAGCTCATCTCATTTCTGCTGAGAGGGGTCCCAGGGAGCCTGTGGAGAAGGGAACATCCACGGGAACAGAGGAGCTGGTGTGATACCAGGATGGTACCTTGACTCAGAGGTCCCCTGAAATGGTTTTTAGCCCTGAAGGTGCCCAGTTTGCTGGTGGTGGGGTCCTGTAAAGGCTGTCAGCTGTGCTGATGCCAAGTGCACCTAGGGGCATTAGAAAAGGGAAGTCAGATGTGACAGGCTGAGCCTCCAGCTGAGGTCTTGCAGCATGGGTCACTCTCTGCTTCCAGGCCATGTACCAGGACTCATCCTTCCCTGCTGACTCCCGTTCTGGAAGTAATATCTGTTCTCCTCCTTTCTGGATGGGTTTTGGGGTGTCCATGTGCTACCTGCACGTGGGAGAAGGCAGTCTCTTGCTTTTACACCTGCTGCATAAAGGTGTAAATGCTGTAAGGCCCCTCGTTGCCAAAGATGCTTCCCAAAGACTGAAGATGCCAGGAAAGACCCCACAAAGCAACGGGACTGTGATAGGTGGAAAGCTGCGGTTCTCCCCTTTGTCCCCACCAGCAGCTGGGGCTAGGGTGGCCTTGGGGACAAGGGGACAGGAGGGGCTGGCAAGGGTGCAGGGCCCGGCATGTCCCGGCCTTTATCTCCCCCTAGTGCCACCCGCCAGGCTCCTTTACTCCGGTGCTGCGCCGTGCAGAGTCCGGCAGTGCCCTGGGGCAGCCACATCCCAGAGCAGCACAGGGACTGTGGGGAACGGGGCAGGGCACGCCTGTGGGGCTGGACCCCATTGGCCACAGGAGTGATGTCCTGAAAATCCTGGTCGAGTGAGCGTCAGGAAGAGCCACAACATCCAACTGCAACAAGGAGGTTGGCATCATGGGAGCTGTGGTGGTGATGGGAGGACAGGAGGTGGTGGAGAGTGAGGTGATGAATGTGTCTTTGCTTGGCCTGAATGGACCCGAAAGGTGACATTCCCAAGGCTGAAATGAGGCTGTTCTGGTGGCACTGTCACCTGAGCAAGGCCAAGGGACCCTTGGAGCTGTGACAATCCTGAAGGAATAGAACAGGGTCACCCCCTGCCTGTGAGGCCATGGGGATGTGCAGCCGTGCTCGAGGCAGCCTGGCCCCGTGGAGCTGGAGATCACCTTCGGTCAGCAGGACCTTGCTGAGTCCCGAGCCGCTGTCCCTGAGCCATGTGTGCACTGAGCTGTGCCCAGACTCAGCAGCAGCCGGGGGTGGCACACAGCCCGCGGGGCTCTGCTCCTGAGCCTTGTCCTCTGTTCTCTCCGAGCTTCCCATCGCCCGTGGTTTGAGCAGGAAAAGGGCAAGAGGCTCTTCCTCACAGACTGGCTCTCCCCTCAGCCCGGCAGGGTAAGCTGTGGGAGGAAAATTGTTAAAAAGATAACATTTGGCACCACAAAAGGGCTCTGTACAGCTGTGGGTGGCGTCTCCTCGGTTTGGCTCCCCAGGGAGCCGCTTCACACCCTGCTGCAGGTGACGTGCTGTGCTCTGCCTCGGGTGACCCGGCACCGCTGGGGTTCCATGTTTTGTGGTTGTCTCCAAGCTGGGGTTGGAGCCTGTGCTGATTTAGTGCGTTTCTGTTGCCCTCCAAGTTTTCCGATGCGTTTTAGCGCTTCAAAAAAGCCCTGCAATGGTGCTGGGGACACGGGGCTCGCTGGGGGGCACAGGGGGCAAACAGGGCTGGGTTTGGGGCTGTGCTTGTGGGGCCATGTGGGGTACGGTGTGGGGTCATGTTCTGTGGAGCCGTATGGGGGGCAGGCTGTGGGGCTGGGCTTGTGGGGCCATGTGGGGCAGGGCATGGGGCTGTGTAGCGTGAGGCCATGCTCCGCTGGGAATGTGGGATGCACAGGCAGCCTCTGCTTTATGGGGGTACCCAAGCCATGCTGGATCCACACCTCTGCATCCCACACACAAGGACCTGCCCAAGCTGGGGGGTCACACAGCAGCTGTGGATGTGCCTGGTCACAAAACACCCAAACACTGCAACCTCCTCCGGAGCCCTGTGCTCTTCCAGTGCCGGCGCCAATCCCAGGGCTCTTCCCAGCAGGAATCAGCCCACTGAAGGAGTTTGCTGCTCTCTTCTGGCTTTAGACACATTTCGAGTTGCAGAATTCCTCTTTTTCAAAGCGCCCAGAGGGGACTCGTGCACGCACAGGGTTAATGGAAAGCCCGCTGGGTCTGAGCAGCCCCCCCGCGCCGGCCGGCCCCTGGCAGCCCTGTGCCCGGGTATTTATAGCACCGTGAACTTTGAGCGTGTCCAGCGAGCGGGCAAAACCCGCTGGGGACCTGGGCACGGCCCCGGCAGAGCTGCAGGCTGCCGGGGGTCCTGGCCCAGGCTTCAGCAAAGCAACCCAGACCATCCAGCAGCGCATCCCGGCCCCCTGCGCCCCCCACACCCCACAGCCAGGCAGCTCCGGGGCAACCAGGGACCCCCGGTGTGGGACCCCGTGAACGCACCTGGGTGGCCAAGGACGTGGGGCTGAGCCTCCTTCAGCCACGGCGCCGTCAGAGCAGCATCCTCCCAAGCTGATGTTCCAGGTTTCGAGCTGGCATTCCTGGTTTCAGTAGCAGCTGAATGCAGGCGTCTTCCCTTTTCCGTGACAAACAACAAGCAGAAGATCCCACCTCTTCACGGTGTCCCGGGGCAGATTCCTTCTCATCAGACAACCTGCCAGCCAGTTCACCGTGTCCTGGAGAGAAAACATCATGTGTGGCTTCCTTACTCTGAAATTAGGCAGAGGGAAGGGAGCGTATGGGTGGTAGGGGATGGGAAGCCTGTGTGTGTAAAGCCTTGAAAAAGACCTAAAAAAAAAAACCAAAACAAAACCCAAAACAATTTAAAAACCAAAAAAAATCCCCAAAAACAAAACAAAACATCCCAAAGAAAACACCAACCAAAAAAGAGAGGATTTGCTTATCTTTTAGCAGGTGGCATTCAGTGCCCCATTGAAGGGGCAGCCCAGAAAGCCAGCATCATCCTGGGCTCATGCACAGCATGGGCAGCAGGTGAGGGTGGGATTCAGGTGAGAGCCCACCTGCAGAGCTGCCTCCAGAGCAGGGCATCAGCATCAGAAGCATGTGGGGATGCTGGAGAGAGTCCAGAGGAGCCCATGGAGATGCCCCCAGGGCTGGAGCCCCTCTGCTCTGGAGCCAGGCTGGCAGAGCTGGGGGTGCTCACCTGGAGAGGAGAAGGCTCCAGGGACACCTCAGAGCCCCTTGCAGGGCCTAAAGGGGCTCCAGGAGAGCTGGAGAGGGACTGGGGACAAGGCATGGAGGGACAGGACACAGGGAATGGCTTCCCACTGCCAGAGGACAGGGCTGGATGGGATATTGGGAAGGAATTGTTCCCTGTGAGGGTGGGCAGGCCCTGGCACAGGGTGCCCAGAGCAGCTGTGGCTGCCCCTGGATCCCTGGCAGTGCCCAAGGCCAGGCTGGATGGGGCTTGGAGCAGCCTGGGACAGTGGGAGGGGTCCCTGCCATGGCAGGGATGGAACAAGATGAGCTTTAAGGTTCCTTCCAAACGATTCCATAAAAAGGGCTATGAAGGCACCCAGGGGCTGCAGTGTGGGGGTCTCTGGAAGACCCCAGCCCTACTGGTCTGTGCTTCTCCAGCATTTCAAGTCTGGGAGTTGGTTGGGGCATTATTTTTAGGAATCATTGAGACTGAAGCAGAGAGGCAAACAGGAAACCCTGGTCTGCCATGCCTCCATCCACAGTGGGATTCTGCTCCAACTGTTCTGTGTGCTGAGATCCCCTTAACTCAAAATGGATATGTGACTTTGCACAGAAAAAGCCAGAGGGGGAGGTGGGCCTCAAGGATAATTAAAGAAATGGAGTAGCTTTCACCCAAGGAAGAACTGTACAGGCTGGGATGCTTGATCCAGGGCAGGAAATGGCAAGTGAATAAGACAGAAAGCAGAAGAAGTGAATTTTTCCCCAGGTCAGAGAAGTCTGCGTGGATCTTCAGGAGGACAGCGGGAGATTTCTGGTTCTATGAGATGAATCTCTGAAACAAAGATTATCTTCTCCTGGAGCCAAGTGTAGGATTTGCAGACCTGGTTACTGGAAACCCACCAAGACCATGGGGTTTTCTGCCCTCAAAAGCAACTGAAATGTTTTGACCAAAATTCCCTATTTTTCCTGTGTTTTCACTGTGATTTTGCCCCCAGAAGAGTGCATTTCATCTGCTGTGGGTAATGTGTGACAGCGCTGCAAGCAAAGGAAAATTGGGTCCTGTAAAGGGCAGTGTCTTGAAATTTTGGTCATGGAGGACCAGCCTCATTTATAATTACAAATATACAGAGATTTGTGCAATTACACATCCCAGCTGGCTCTGAGGGCAAGTGCTCAAGGTTGCCGCTCTTTTCCTGAAAGCACTGGCAATTTACTTGTGGGAAAACTTATTTTATATCCTTGGGAAAATATAAGGGTGTTGCTGTTGCCCTCTGAGATGTTTTTAGGTCCTGCCCACGCCAGGAATGGCCACAGAGCTTTGCAGCAGCAGGCAAAGGAGCAAGCACTGAAATATCAGGGAAGGAAAGGGAGGAATGGTTTTATTCTTACAGATTCCTGCATAAAATAGAGGCTAAAGCACGTCTTCAAAATGATTGAGCGAGGACACTGCTCATTACATAAGGTTGTTGGGGGGAAAAAATAGGCTGATTTACATTTTTATAGGAAATAAAAGGAGGTTTGTGGGTGACATAGCACCTTCCTCTGAGAATGTCAGCATGAGATAAGTGGGCTTCAAAGGGAAGAGTAACCGTTTTCCCGCAGGGACGGAGTCCATCCCAGAGAGCTGAGTCTGGGAGAAAAACGCTTTTTGAAGGAAATTTTTGTTGCCGTTACAAATACGTTTATTTAGCACAATTCACATTGACTGCGAGGCTGCTGCTTCTCATTTCTGCTGGTTCCTCTGAATTTTGGTGAAGCTTTAGGTAGCAGGAAAACCAAACTGCTTCTGTTTTGTGGATGTGGTGTTTTCAGGGCAGGAGGAGAGGCCGATGTGCTTTTTAGGAGTGGGGGGATTTTGTCAGGGTTGGAGTTCAGTGATACTTTAATTTCATTCACAGTGAGTCGCCAGGTGGGGTTTCACCCTGGTTTCAGGTTGGTGGCCCTCTGAGATTTGCTGTGCTGTGCTTCAGAGCCGTGGCTGTCTGGCAGAACAATTCCGGTTGCTCAAAAGCGCCGATTAGCATAAATGAAGGAGTGGGTGAAATGTTCATTATATTGCCTACTGTCATGTTTGTGTACCAGATTTTGTTACCATCTGTCATTTCTGTTTTCTTGTTGTTGCCAAAAGTTGTCATTCTGAATGGAGGGTGGAGACTTATCTTCAAAAGCCAGCATGAGATAATTTTAGGTACTTCAGGGCTCATGTGCTCCGTGCTGGGTGTCAGTGGCCCTCACGTACATCAGCCTCACATGTCTTTGGTAAAATCTGGACAATGGTTTAGTTAAAGGAGTTTTTTAAACCATTGGGGTCATGCAAGTGCATAAGATTCTCATCTCTTGTCATTTAAAAAGAGTATCCGGCCCTTGCAATATGTTCTCCTTAATCTTAAAAAAAAATACAGGGTACAAAGAAGGGTGTATGTGGGGCCATGGCGGTGTTAAAATCCAAGGACTTGCCCAGAGATCTGACCGAGGGAAGCAACAGCTCTGCTATAACGGACTGCAGCATCCCCAGATAATTTCCAGAGATGTAAATATCCCAGGGACTGAAGCTGGACAAATTCAACCTTGAAATGAGCCGCAGCTCTCTTGCAGGAACGGTGGCTGCGTACTGCGACACTTGCGAGGGGAGCGGTGCCTGCACCGGGGCTTGCAGCCTTTCGAGCAAAATTAGCTCATTTCAACCACACAGCTTTAATGCAGAGACTGGAGGAAGGGCTCAGCCTGCAAGCAGGGACCTGGGAGGTGAAGCCGTGAGGATTTCTTGCCTTGTCCAAGTCCTTTGCGATCATCCGGTCTGAAAGCTCGGTGCCCTGTGCCAGCTGGGGATGGAGAGGGCTCAGGGTGCCTGGATCATCCTCCTTTCATTGGGCTGGAGCACCAGGCTGCTGCTGTGAACTGTCAAATCCTCCCTGGCAGTGCCAGGCCCATGCTGGCACCTCGTCACTTCCCGTGTCAGCCCACAGCAGCTCTGCTCTGCCCAGGGTTGCTGGGTTTTCATGTGGCCTGAGTGACAGGGCTCAATGTTCACCTGAAATGCAGTGACTTGTGACATCCAAAAATGCAGAAAAGATTATCTAATTACTTCAACTGGACTTAAACTCCAGGAAAATACAAAGCCAGACAGTTTGGGGATGTTTTCTTGTTAGTTTGGGCTCAGCCAGTGGTGCAAAGTCATAACCAAAGCCATGATGTGCCAGTGTTGTGGTGAGAACTCTCACTGGTGTGGGAGTGCAGAGGGTCGCTGCTTCCTCCAGGAGAGCTGGGGAAGGAGGAGATGGAGCTGCCTTTGCTCTGGAAGCAGCAGAGTCCATTCTAGACATCTCTGATCAAAGGCTGGGGGAGACCAGGATCATGCAATGACTGCAGTAATTACTGGGTACTTCTTTGAAGTAGTCTCAGGTATCTCTCTTTTGTGTTATGATCTGTATTATGCACTTTCCAGTGCCTAAAGGGGCTCCAGGAGAGCTGGAGAGGGACTTTAGACAAGGGCCTGGAGTGACAGGACAAGGCTTCCCACTGCCAGGGGAATATTGGGAAGAAATTCTTCCCTGTGAAGCTGGGCAGGCCCTGGCACAGGGTGCCCAGAGAAGCTGTGGCTGCCCCTGGATCCCTGGAAGTGTCCAAGGCCAGGTTGGACAGGACTTGGAGCACCCTGGGGTAGTGGGAAGTGTCCCTGCCCATGGCAGGGAGTGGAACAAAATGAGCTTTAAGGTCCCTTCCAACCCCAACCAGTCTGTGATTCTATGAAAGCCCTGTATTTTATCAAATCTTTGGGTTCTTTTATGATACAGATTTGAGGTAACAGCTCTGTCATGTTTTAACACTTCAACAATGTAAATTGTCTTTCCTAGCTCAAATTCTCCCATATTTGCTCTCTCCCAGAGGATAATTCTACAAAGCTCATGAGCAAATTCCACCCGAGCCTTTCAGGATGCTGTGAACATCACTGACAGCCGTTGTGAAAAAGTTGGGTCTGGGTTTGTTTCACAAGTGTGAAATAAATTTCAAAACTCTCACATTCAAACCAGCCTGGTAAATTGCCCTAAACGAGCACCAAGTGTCATCTTGTGTGGATGACAGAGGAACCTGGAATGCAGCTGAGAAGCCTTTGGACAAGCAGGAAGAAGTGGGCTTGGGCCATGGGGAGTGGAGCTGACCTGGCAGAGGGGCCAAATGGGCTGATTTAACAGATGTGAGCATACACTGGATGTGGAGGAGCTGGGGACTGAGATGAGGTGCAGTAGTTTGTCAGGCCCTGCTCCAGGATGACAATGATGGGACCTCCAGGCTGGGTGATTGAGAGCTGATCTGGCTCCACTTCCCTGGTTAGCACAAGGCTGGGATAAGCTGATATAGGGTGGAAGAAAAGCAGGAAAAAAAAAGGAATTTCTCATCTTAACACCTAATGTGCTGCTGGCTTAAGACAGGAAGACAAGCGACCTTGGCTGATCTAAGACAGAAGCACAGAGCACATCGACAGCCAAGCCATGAAACTCCTCCGCAAGAATGAACCATTAATGGAATTAACCATGGTGCCCAAGGTGGACAGCTTGGGGTGAAAAGTTAATCCTGATATAATTAGAGACAGCCTTGTAACAGCAAAATTGTGGAGTCACAGGTCACAGCGTGAGATGCCACCAAGACCTTGCAGTGTGTCAAGTCTTGCAGGAATGGGACAGGAGTGAAACAGAAATCATCTGCATCATGCTTCAAAGGATGGAGCAATGTCCTGAGAGAGCTGGGGAAGGTTTCTCTGTCCACCCCATGAAGTGTTTGGCCTTGAGGAACTCAGGCAAGAATATCATGTCCAACCAAGCACACAAAACCCAAACAAATTAAAATGCATCTGGACTGATGTGCAGGTATGTTAAAAGAGTTTCCTGACCTTTACAGGGATTGTTTTATTCCCTAGAGCATCACATTTTATTATTATTGCCTTCTACGTAATTTGTCGTAGAAAAATATAATTTTGGCTATGAAATTGTTTGCCTTCATTTAAGCTCTGCAATAGTATTTAACTTTCTGGTCCTTTTTGAAACTAATTTCCCCAGGCAAATTACATCCTGTGCAAAGAGGTTCTTGTCATTGATGTCACAGAATGGGACATCACAGCTGGGGACAGGGGGGAGCATTGGTGGTGGGTGATCATTTCTTTGATAACCTTAAAAGCAACAGAGTAGAGCACCTCCTTGGAATCACTCTCTCACAGGTTTTCCAGAGGAAACAATCCAATTTTATCCTGTGCTGGTTATCACCATCACCTCAGTCACTTTGCTGCCCTGCTGTGATCCCCTTATTCTGAACAGGGTGCCAGAGAAGCTGTGACTGCCCCTTCCCTGGCAGTGTTCAAGGCCAGGTTGGACAAAGCTTGGAGCAGCCTGGGAGAGTGGAAGGTGTCCCTGCCCATGGCAGGGAGTGGAATGGGATGCTCTTCAAAGTCCCTTCCAAACCAGTCTGTCATTCCATATTTCTATGAGCTAGAAGCCATAATAAAAATAATTCTACTTTCACCTGACCCCATTATTTAGGAGCTCGTGCGAACTTACAGTGAAAGGTGATTAATGCTGAAAAAGGGTTTTCCAGCTAAAGCCCTCATGTTTGGGAGAAACTCTGGACTGAGTCACCAGGAAAGGTTTTGGGTTTGGCTCTGTGCTGGGCACCCAAGAAGTGCCAGATGTGATTCAGGCAGCCAAAACAAGGCAACAGGAGGGATGCAAGATGCATCCAGCTGGGATGCATGAGAGCCAGGCTGCCCAAGGAGCTGCCTGAGAGAACCACAGGGCTGGAGAAATAGTGAAGCCTTTAAACTGGTTGTTGCCATAACAAGAAAAAATAAAGAATTTGGTTTGAATCAAATGTGAAAAATTTGCTGAAGGAGAAGGTGAGTGGATTGATGTGTTTTAGTCATTTTGTCCTCTCTTACTCCCTTTAATTTCCCAGTTTTGGAGTTAAAATCTGTTTTTAAAGTTTTGCTCACACAGCAGGGAAATTAGGTGTTTTCACTGTCAATTAATAAATCAGAAGGTTTCAGTGCTTTCTGAATTCTGAAAGCTGAAACTTTGAGGGGTTTTCTGAGTACTTACTGAAGCCCTGAACACACCAGAGTTACCTGCAGAAGGTGAAGATTTCCACAAACACCTTATCTGCTAGAAAAAGGGTGAAAAGAGTCATCATTATCCAACTTAGGGGGCAATGTGGGGCTGGGCCAGTCCCACTTTCTACTGGTCCCAAACCAGTGAGCATTGAACTTCAAGCTCCTGTAGAATTTGCTCTTTTTTTTACACAAAACAAGGGAAAAAAACCCAAAAACAAACTCTAGTGGTAGGGGAATAGCAAGGCTGGAGGCACAAACAGGCAGTTAATATATTCCCCTTGTCAACCCTGCTCAATGCCCTCCCTGTCCTGATGAATATTGAAGAATTTCATACAAATTGGAACAGGTTCAGCAGGACAGTTTTCCAAGACCCAGCCCAGAAAGGCTTCCTGGTCGCCGCTGGGGGCCCTTTCCTCTATGGGAGGAGTGCACAGTCCGCAGGAGGAAGTTCTTCCCTGTGAGGGTGAGGAGGCCCTGGCACAGATTGCCCAGAGAGGCTGCGGCTGCCCCATCCCAGAGGTGTCCAAAGCCAGTCTGGATGGGGTTTGGAGCAGCCTGGTCTGGTGGAAAGTGTCCCTGCCCACGGTACAGGGCTGGAACAAAGGGGCTCTAAGGTTTCTTCCCACCCAAACCATTCCATGATTCTGTGACTGCACGTGGCAGTGTCAGAGCAAGGACAGGGCAGCCACCTGAGTCTGTACCATTCTCCAAGAACTTGGGCACAGTTAACTCTTGGAGGCTAATGCAGAGGGTGAGGGACCTGTCTGCCACCTAAATCCAAAACATTTCACAGCTGGCTTTTAACTCAGGAGAGAGGGAGAGAGAGAGGCTGGCACTGCAGAAGAGCTTGGGGTTGCTTTCTGGATGACTATGGGAGTTCAGCAGAGTTTCTGATGAAAAATAAAGTTTTTCAAGAGTTGTGATGAGTTGAATCCACAGCAAAAAGCTTAAAGGCTAGTGTGGAAGCCAGGATTAACACTGAGAAGGTACAGAGTTTCCCAGGAATGAAGCTTCTTGAGATAACCAAGTCTTGTGCTAAAGCTGTGACTGATAGCAAGAAGAGAAGAGGCAGAGGGACAGGCAAGGCTGAATGGAGCAGGAGGAATTGCAGAGCCATACTGTTGTGGCTGCCTCCACCAACCTGGACAATGGCAGAGCAGGAAAAAATGCCACCAGTGTCCCCATGGCCTGGCTTGACAGTGGCTCAGCAGAGTTTTGCACACAGGTGACTAACAGGATGATGGTGAGACTGTGAGCTTGGCCAGAGTTTTCTTGGGAACACCAGATTTTGCTGCAGCAAAAAATAAGGACTGTCAGCCAGAACACAAGGAGGGCATTTCCAAATGTGACCCCAGACACTTACCTGAAGTCACTGCATTGCTGTGAGCATTGCTACTGATTAGGAAAAAAAAAAAAGGGAAAAAAAAAAGCAAGAAAAAAAAAGCAAGCTATATGCAGAGACATAAAAAAAAAAGAACTATAAGATTTATAGTAATGAATTACTTCCACAAAAGATATATGCAGTGTGTCCAAGTAGGTTAATAAATGCTTGGATGGCATTGAATTGAAAGGAGTAATGCTTAGTGTGGTCAGTAGTGCTGAGCACTTGATTACAGAGTCATAGGATGGTGTTGTATGGAAGAGACCTTAAATGCTATTTCCTTCTACCCCTCTGCCATGGCAGGGACACCTTCCACCAGAGCAGGCTGCTCCAAGCCCCATCCAGCCAAGCCTTGGACACTTACAGGAATTCGGGGACAGCCACAGCTTCTCTGAACCCCCTGTGCCAGGGCCTTCCCACCCTCATAGGGGAGATTTTTTTCCTGATATCTAAGCTAAAACTACTCTCAATTTGCACCCATTCCCCCTTGTCCTGTCACTACATTCTCTTGTAAACCATCCTTCCTTTCAGTTCCCTATAGGTACTGGAAAACCTTGTCTCTGTGATGCCATCATGGAATGAGCAGAGGACAGAAATGACACGGGAGAAATCTGGAGACACCTTTCAAGGGATGAAGAATCATCCAACCCCTCTGGTTTGAAGATGCTGACAGGCCACTGCTCTGAGCTGTGTGGAGGGAGCAGAACGAATGGAGGGAAGCACGAGCCCTGGTGGGAAGGATGAGGTCTTGCTCCAAGATAAAGGTTCAGGCAAGAGCTGGAGCCTGTGTGAATTTGGCAGAGGGGAGTGTGAGCAGTGCTCACTCCTGAGCTCACAGCTCAGCACCCAGGCTCAGACTGAGCATCTGGCATTCAGCTCACACCAAGCTGTGAGCAGCAGCACCTGAAGAGCTTGTGAATGCCCTCTCCTACTGGTGGTGCAATGGGAAGGCCACATCTTTAACCAGGGGACAAGGCAGGGAGGGGGGAAACACTGAAATCTTCCCATCTCAAGTGGCCAGACTGTATCTATGGGCATCCCACCTTTCTCTGTGCTCAGGGAAGAGATCTTTCACCATAATCTGCAGCGGAAAAAATGTTCTGTGTCTTTTTTTTGGCCCATGTTGGCTGAAACCGCCCATAAACCACTAATTGCCGCTGCTAAAAGGGAGCTGGCAGACATGAAATTTGCCCAGATTACCCAGATTACTATTTTATGGGTAGAAATATGATTTCAAACTGACTGTGGGGCAGGTTGCAAACTGGTGTCAGAGAGATGAAAAACCATAATGTCGCAGAGCCCAAAGACAGACATTTTTTGTGGCAGTTTACTTTAAAAATAAAGCAAATGGACTGTTGTGTCTCAGACAAAGTCTGAGATTCGTCAAGCAACAACCTTGAGTGAGAGCACAAAGATTTATACAGGTTTTTCTTAATAGTTTGTCAGGCATGGCAAAGTTACAGGCTTCACATTTGGGACTTAAGAAAGAAGGACCCCTCAGAGTGACAGACTCAATTATGCTGATGACAGAAGACACTGTTTTTCCTGAACTGCTGCTCTTGCTTTTGTGAGATAGCCTTACCCATTACTTGGGGGATTCCTCCACATCAGAGTTAGATGGTCCTGACAGATGATGGGCAAGATTCTGAGCAATTTGCTGAAAAGTCCAAGTCTGCATCCAGTCCCCACGAGACTCTGTTCAACAAGTAGGTAGGAAATAGCTTTACATTAATGAATACTTAATGAAAAGGAGAGCAGAATCAGATCTGATTGCTGCTTGTGGGGTATCGCCCACAGAACACGTTTAGCCACCTGCAAATACTCTTTCTGCATGAAATGAAGCAAGGAGACCCTTTGAGCCGTGTGTCAAGCTCTGTAGCCCAAGGAGGCAAGAGTTTGCAGAAGTTCACAGACACGCAGCTAAACACAAACAGTGCTGTGATTGCGGTCCCTGGGTTACCACCACTTCCTGAACACCACAGAATTCACACACACAATGAAAATCAGAAGCCAGAAACAGCAGTTATTTCACATAAAATTGCTCCACAATCCCATGAGTGCAGGGTGTGTGTAACCAGACGTGCCTAGAGAAAGAATAGGCAGCACCTTCTGCAGCAGCCGGGAGGAGAGGAGGCAACAGGCCCTGGGCTTTTCTTCTATCCTGGAAGAGCTTTGGCAGCACATGGGAATGGTAAGGCCACCTGGTTCTGGGACATAACATCACCAGGAAAAACAGACTCCCATTCCCAATGAGAACTCCTCTGATGGTGCCACAGTGACTACAAGTTACAGGGCAGAGCTCCTCAGAAGTTATTCAAACACTGCTAATTGTTTGGCTGTAAGGTTTTGAGGTCACAAGCTATAGAAATGATCCTTCCATGTTTTGGGTGGGGAAGGGAGGTAGGACCTCAGGAACTGTGTCTTTAAGCAGCTTAGTTCTGGAGACAGGAAGTCTGGCGATGGGCTGCAGCAGTGCAGATTTTATTATGCAATTTCTCTTGGAACTAGTCCCTGAATAAAGGAGTTATCCATTAAGCACCTGCTTTGCCCTCCCTCCTGAACACCACAAACGAAGGTCTCAGGAATCCTTTCAAGAGCTTACCCATCAGTGGGGGAGCAGGGAGCCATGCACTGGGGTCCAGACTGGTAATATTGATGTGTTTGGTTTATAGTGTCTTTCAAAGGGTTTCTCTTCATTAAATCCTCCTACTCTGTTTGAGCTTGTTCCATGTTTGGCATTACTAGTGTACCAGTGGCTGAGGCCATCTAAGTCTTGCAATACTGATCCAAAGGGCTGTGGTACCCAGGCTACTCTTAGGCCCTCAGGATATTTAATCATAGCCCTCTTTCCAAAGGGTAGCCAAGGTCTTCCTCTCCCTCCCATCATTAACCTATCATTGCTGTTCTGATCCCATGGTAGGGGCAGCTGGGGACATTGCAGCACGGAGAAGGTGCAGGACACAGTGGAAGTAGGATCCTCCTCCTCTGCCCCTACTGCCTGTGGTAAAGGATTCCCTCCCTCCAAAGCATCTCCTTTCCCTCCCACTCTGCTCCTGGGACTTGCAGCCCCACTCTGACTTCACCAACGTGGCAAGCCTGGCACTTGCTGTAAAGACAGAGGAGCTCTCCCAGCTAATCATGGCCTCCATACATCCTCTGCCTTTCTCCCAACAGTGGGTACATGGCATTTCCCTCAGAGGCACTGACACAGCAGCTCCTGTCACAGCACTGGGGCTGTCAGGGCCCCTGCCTCAGCGGCTGTGTGCTCAGGGCTGCAGTACTGGTGTAACACGGGTGTGTCACCCAGCACCAGGCAGCATGAACATCCTCTGGAGAGGGGCAGTAGCTGTGGGACTGCTCAGGATCTGTCCCCAGTGGTAAACTCCATCCTGACTTTATCCCAGAGCTGCAGAGTTCATGCAGCAGCAGGGAAAGGGGTCATGAGGGGAGCAAAGTGCTACGGAGAGCTCCTGGTGTCAGCCACTCCTGCATATCCATAAGTGATGCCATTGTAGAAGTACAGACTCGTTTGGGTTTGAGGGATTTTAAACAGCAGCTCATTCCACCTTCCTGCCAGGGGCAGGGACACCTTCCACTAGCTCAGGTTGCCCAGGCCGTAATGACCAAGGCAAGCACAGTGATCCAAGATGCAATTCAAAATACATCAACCAAACTTGTTAAAAAGTTCAAGCAGGAGCCAGAAAAAGACACTGCTGTCCTCAGCTGTGCCTTAGAGTCTGACCTGACTCCCACTCCTCACCTCCAACAGCAAAACATTTTCCTTTAACCTAAACTGGGATAAATGCTTAATACCACAGTAAAATGCTGCTGGATAAGAGCTGCTGCTTTTACATCTAGAGGCACTGTGAGACACTGAACCTGTCCCACACTGAAACAGATGCAAACTCACTGCTTTGGAAGGAAATTAAAGCAGGCACAAGCAGAGAGCCCTTACTTGTGTAACTAACGAGTAACACAGTGATAGAAGCAGAGGTCTGACAGAGACCTCCACGTGATTACAGCCAGACCAAGGACAGGCACCATGTAAATAAATACAGAATTTGCAAGTAAATGTAATGAAATTCATGTAAATGTAGAAGTAAATGTAATGAATTCGGGTTTTGCAGTAAACAAAAGGCAGACTTATTCTTTGCAAAGGAATCTGTCATTATAGATCTCCTTTAAACCAATAAATTATTGCTGTTGAATCCATTTCAGCTTATGGAGCTCATCAACACATCCTCAGAATCCTGTCCAGATCTCCAGCTGCTCCTCCCATTGTGGCTGCCCTTGGAGGACATTCCAACATGAAGGTGATGAAAACAGCCCCAAGCAACCAGTTTGGGTACAAGGAGCTCTGCTGCCACACACATCACCAGGGCTCATAGGACCTGATTCTCAGGTTGGGAACCAGTATGGAAATCCATGGAACTATATGAGCTCCAGTCTTCTAAACCTGTTTTGGGCTGGGGAAGTCTGTCTAGACAGAGCAGAAAGTGTTTGTAAAGCGAGGCTGGGTTTGATGTTGGTGCCTGAGAGTGGGTCAGCTCCGATGGGACATTTGCCTTCATGTGTGGCTGCTCTGAGGGCATGGGGGAAAATGGGGGCACTGAGGGGGAGCATGGGAGGGGATGTTGTGAGGGGGACATTGAGAGTAATGTCCACAGTGGGATTGAGAGGGGAAACTGCAGGGGGTGACTGAGAGGAAAAATGGAGAGGGGACACTCTGAGGAGGACATTGAGAGAGATCATCTCTGAGGGACTGAGAGGGGAAGCTGAGAGGTGACTGAGGGGAAACTGAGAAGTGAGACTGTGAGGGGCATGGCTGTGAAGGGGGCATTGAGAGGGGACATCCACGGTGAGACTGACAAGGCAGACTGGAAATGTAACTGTGAGGGAAAACTGAGGATGACACAGGGAGAGACTGAGAGGGTACATCCATGGTGGAATTGAGAGGAGAGATGGGCCTGGGGGCTTTGAGAAGTATGAAGGGAGGAAAGCCCATGAGGGGGCATTGAGCCATCCATGGTGGGACTGAAAGGGGAGATCGTGGGGGTGACTCTGAAAGGACTGAGAAGGGAAGGGGGGATCATGGGGAGACGTGGAGGGGGCATGGTGAGGGGGGCACTGCAACATCTGAGGGGAGTCAGAGAGGGGACAGTGGGGGGAGACTGCCGAATGACTGAAGCAAGGGCTCTGAGGGACTGAGGGGAGACTGCAGGGCCAATGAGCCGTCCATGGTGGGACTGCGAGGGGAGATCGTGGGGGTCACTACGAGGGGACTGAGGAGAAAAGGGAACTGTGGGGAGACTTGGAGGGGTCGCTGTGAGGGGAGCACTAAGACATCTCTGGTGGGACTGAGGGGAGACTGCGGGGGACGCTGTGAGGGGGGAACAGACATCTGAGGGGAGCCGGAACACCGTGAGGGGACAGCTCTGGGGTCCTGAGGAGGAGCTCCGAGAGGAGCAAACAGGAAAGACCGTGGCCAGGACTTGGGAGGGGGAGAAATGTTCTCTGAGGGGACTGAAGGGAGACTATGAGGGGGCAACGGGAGGAGGCACCTGAGGGCAGACGGAGAGGGGACGCTGTGACGGGGTGCTGCGGAGGGAGCCCTGACTGAAGCAAACAGGGCAGACCGAGGCGGTGGCGGAGCGCACCGAGGCGGGGCACGGCGGCGGAAAGCGAGCGCACAGCACTTCGGGCACGGTGTGTGGGGCGGGGTCGCCGCCCGACTCCCCCACCGGCCCCGAGCCCCTCAGCGGAGCAACTGAGGACGGCGCCGGGCGCTTCCGGCGCCGCGCGCGCCTTTCCGGCAGGGCGGGGCCGCGCCGCGAGCGCGGTGACGCAGCGCGCAGTCCCCGCCCCCGCCCCGCCCCCGAGGGCTCTGGAAAAGAGAAGAGAAAAAAAAACTTTTTTTTTTAATTGAGGAATCAACAGCCGCCATCTTGTCGCGGAGCCGGAGCGCGCGCGGGCGGGCGGCGGGCGGGGGCCGGGGCGAAGCCGCCGCCGCGGAGGGGAGGGGACGGGGCGAGGCGAGGGGAGCGTGTGGGGGGGCGGAATGCGCCCCGAGTGACGGCCTGAGCCGCCATCCGGGCACCGCGGCGGGGGGAGCGCCCGGGAGGAGCGCGGCCGGCAGGGAGGGGGCGCTGGGCCCTTCGCTCCCCGCCCCGAGCCCTCCTCCCTGCGGCCTGCGGCGGCCCGGCATGGGGGAGCGGGGGCGGCCGGCCGGGCACTGAGCGGCGCTGTTGGGTTCCCGTGCGGCGGAGGAGCGGGGACAGCGAGCTCGGCCCCCCCCGAGCACCCCCCGACAACGATCACCGGCTCCGCCGCTCCGGCCACCATGGCGGAGAACTTACTCGACGGGCCGCCCAACCCCAAGCGAGCCAAGCTCAACTCGCCGGGCTTCTCCGCCAGCGATAGCACAGGTAAGGCCGCGGGGGTGGCTCGGGTGGGGCTCTACGGCGGTTCTCCCCCCCACACCCCCCCGCCCCTACCGCCCCGCCGGAGGGGGGGCCTGCGGGACCGCCCGCCCTGCCGCGGTTCCTGGCGGGGGTGGGTTGGGCCTCCTGCAGTCGAAGTTACCGGGCGGGACCCGTACGCCAAGTACCGTCCCGGCTATAAATAGCGGTTGGAAAGAGACGTTTTTTGAGTCGGGTTTCCCTTCTTTTCCTCTGTCATCTTCGTTTTTAGTGCCTCGGTTTGGGTGATGGGGTGGACAGGTGAGTGGGGTGCGGGTAGGGAAGGAGAAGGGCCAGGCATGGGAAACACCGACCGTCCTGCTTATTTTACAATCTTGGAATGGTTCGGGTAGGAAGGGACCTTAAAGCCCGTCTTGTTCCATCTCCTGCCACGGGCAGGGATACCTTCCACTATCCCAGGTTGCTCCAAGCTCCGTCCAGCCTGGCCTTGGGCACTTCCAGGAATGGGGCAGCCGCAGCTTCTCTCGGCAGCCTGTGCGAGGGCCTCGCTATCGTCAAAGGAAGGAATTTCTTCCCGATACAGAATCTAAATCTACCCTCCTTCACTTTAAAGCTGTAGGTGCCTTCTTGGAAGGGTAGTTGAGGTTTCTGTCTACTCCTTAAACCTTAAGTTTACCCACAGCTAATAGCCCTATACAGGCTTTTTCACTGTGTCCCTGTGTGTGACACACTACGGAATAAAAACTCCTTAATAGCTTCTTAGTCATAGAATGATTTGGGTTGGAAAGGATCTTGAAGACCATCGAATTGTACCCTCCAATTAATACTTTGTGCTTTTTTTTACATCCCAACCTGTGACCGAGGTTTTAAGGTATTTGGCTTAAACTGTTTCAAGCGTTTTTCCTTCAAACCCCAAACGACTTGCCGGTAATAATTGAAGTTGCGGGGTTGCTCGTATGCCGAAATGCCCGGCAGCCTGGCAGTCACTGCGACTTGTCTGTGTCTTGTAGTCTCTCTGGCGTGCCTTTTTCTTCAATTGTGATGGGTTTGTAGATAATAAAACACACCAAAATGTCTCGTTTCCAGCCAGTGTGTGCCCGTTGTAAATACACACGTGTGTGCGCAAGAGCATGTGTGCCTAGACCGGCCTCTCCCGGTGTTCCAACTGTTTCAATCCCTGAAAGAGTGGTTTCAGAAGAATACGAAGTCTGTTGCACTTGAATTTCTGCTTTCAGAGATTAATGAATCTTGTGGAAGGGATAGTGATAAGTTAATCATGCTGTGCCTGCTGTGTTTTCATAGACTGAAAAAAAATATTACTATAATTGAGCTGATAAATTCTGTGGGTTTTTTCGTCTTGCTCAATCTGCATTTGGCAACACTTTACAGATGCTTCGGTCCTTTAGGGGTTTTTTATGGAAACCTTTTCTTCTCAGCCTGCAAATAAATGAAACAAGCGAGAAAGAAACAGTATCGAATAAGAACTGTCAGGGAATGTCTAGGTGAGGTCTTGTGATTGAACCGTGTTAATCCCTTGTGTGGAAGCACTAGAATATATGGAAGGCTGATACACAAGTTGCTGTGAAATGCTCTTTGTAACTCAGGACAAATACAGTTTATAGTTCTTTAATTCTACAGCGAGACATTTTAGCCTCCCCTGGTAGCCCGTGTCTTGGTTTGGTTTTTTTTCTTTCTTCTTTCTTTTTTGAAGTTCACTTGGGCTGTTCTGGAATGCTTCAGTCTTAATTACGTCCTGTTCAGCAAGTTCTCGTGTGTCTCGGGGAGCTCTGTGCGCTGCTGGATGTGTGAACTCCAGCATCTGCAGAAAGTTCTGCAGGGCTCGGGGGGCCTGGGGGCACTGCGATGGCAAACCCCAAATTGCATTCTGGATGCATGTGTCCAAGGAGTTCTGTCATCGTCCTGGTGTTCCATAGGCAAAAGTACCTCTCTGCCAAGGGCGTGGGTAATGTTTGTGCGCTTAAAGAGAGGGTTGTTTTTAGGAAAAGCACTTGTAGGTTTGTTGCCAGCAGTTAATGCTGCTTGTTGAAGGATCGCTGAAGGTTTCCGTGCATTGTGGCAGGCGATACAAATACTTTGAGTAGTGATTGCTGTCGAATGCCTGCTCCTGGAACTAAACCAGGCTGCTCCCTGGTGCTGGGGCTTAAATGGAAAAGTTCTGTCGCAACCTAGAAAGTGGCCTTTGTGATCGGGGGAGCTTGGGGAGGTGAGTGTGAAGCTTTTGCCCTGGGTGAGCAGTGAGTTGAGCAGAATTACTGTAACTGCGGTGGTAGTCCCACACGGGTGGGTGCTGTGGCCGCCGTGAGGGGGACGTGCTTTCAGAGCTGCCGCGTTGGGCCCGGCTGAACGGTTTGGCTCAAGCCTGCAAATGCTCACACCCGAGGCTCTGATGGCAGGCCTGAACATTGGGCAGAAAGCAACTGCTCTCCTCCTTGTTTATGTTTCTCTTGATGCTTTGATGCGGTGATGTTAAGCAACTCCTTTTGTCAGGGTAAGTTTTAGCTGCCTTTAATCTTTCTGATAAAAATAGCTCCTCAGCTTACCGGGGCAAAGTTTGTGCCGTTGAAATTGGTCTGTTTACCTTCTGAAAATATGGCCTTTTCTGTTAAACCTAAGCAGCTAATCCAGTGTCTGGTGTTGCAGAAGGGTGCAGAGATGAAAGGATAACAGAAATGGGCGCTGTGACCATCGTTAAGTTTCATGATAGTCTCATTTCGAAGTTGCCCTGCTGCTCTTTGTATCAATAAGGAAGGTTAAGAC